AGTACAAGAAACCGCCTATTCACTTATTTCAACTACCCAATAAAGTGGTCAGAAATTGGCAATATGGCCAATTTCACACAAATTTCAACAGATACCAATTTCAAAATAGGGTCCAGAATAAACATTGCAGACCTCCCTGGCACTAAAATAACATTTTCTCTGTTCATTGGTCACGGCTACAGGCCCCTCTTATATTACTCTTGCTTACCATTTGGAATTTTTATTCACAAAAAAAAAAAATAGAAGATTTACTGTTATGCAGACTGCTGCATTATTGTAATAATTGTATAAATAATGTCAACCCATTCTTGACCCCGTATTGGAAGTTGACGTCATTTGTTTACTCTTGAGCTTCACTAAAGAATAGAACATTTTCGCTACTGTGGGCGCAATTTCAAGGTACTTTTCATTAAGAAAGCAATCAAAATCACATCTATTTCTGTAATATATCTTTCATTCTATCAAATGAGACCGAAAAAATGAGAATATAACCATAACAACCATACAAAAATATACCGCTAAAGCGGCCGCTAATGGCTGAGAAGTGAACTCTGCTATTTATGGTCTGATTTCTTTCATTTTTGGTGTGTGTTAAGAAGTATCTTTCCATCATACATTGCCCAAGTTTCAGTAAGATAACCCAACAAACAACCGAGAAAATAGTAATAATATCTTTATTTACTACACGTACAAGGTATACAGGCCTAGCTGACATCAGTGACATACTACTATATAGAAAGGCACTTGTTATGCAGAGTATTTCAAGAAAATTAGGTCAGTGTCCCAGGATAACACCCACACTAGTCAGCTAACACCCAGGTACCCATTTACTGATGGGTAAACATAGACAACAGGTGAAAGTTAAGACACATGTGCAACATCTGGATATCTTTATTGTAGACGTTTCGCCATCCAGTGGCTTTTTCAATACAGGTTCTAGGACATAATTGGAAGACAGTAGAACTATATGCAAAAGATGAGGTAATCAGTCCCTCAGCCTTGGAGTGTGTGTTCACAGCATTGTTGTGGAGGAGAATCAGATTCTCCTCCACCACGATGCTGTGAACACTTAACTCCAAGGCTGAGGGACTGATTACCTCATCCAGATGTTGCATATGTGTCTTAACTTTCATATTGTCGGTATTTTATACCTTTCTTGCACATAGACAACAGGTGTAAAGAAACACGCCTAATGTTTCTACCCTGGATGGTAATCGAATATTTACCAAAAATCATACATGGCTAACCCAAGCCAGGTACTAGAAATAAGCCATGTTGACTTTTTTTGGGTTATCCTAGGTTCTCTACACATATGCTGCTATGTGTGATAATCTATGTAAAGAAAATAACTTTTTTGTTTCAGGTTTATGGTGCAGTACGAGTGTATATCACAGTTAGCCCTGTGCTACACTCCGTTTTCTCTGATATAAGCCCCAAGACTGTTTACATCGTATATATACGTCTTACGTGCCACTGTTTCTGACGTATTTATACGCATAAATTCTAGCGGGTTCAGATCAAGCAGGAGAAAGCTGGTAGGCCCACATGTGAGAGAATGGGTGTGTGGGGTCAGTGTACACCACATAAAATCCTGCAGCACACAGTGCGTAATGAGGAAAAAAAACTTTTTTTGTTATTATTATTAAAACACCGACTTTGAGGTGTATTTTCGTATAGTATTTATCGTTGTATTCTCGTTTTCATGGTCTCAGGTGATAAAATGGAAAACATATTACAGAAATAGAGATGAATTTCATTACTTTCACAATGAAAATGACCTTGAAATTGAGCTCAAAGCTGAAATGTTCGATTTTTACAATGTTCAGGAGTAAGCAAATTGCACCACACAACTGGGGAGTCTAATATTCTTTCACTAGTGTACTGATATTATTTACAGGTCCTCCATCACAAATCCGGCATCATTGGGACCTGTAGTGTGCCGGATTACTGAGTTTGCCGAATTACAGAGTGGTTAGGTTAGAATACACTTAATAAAATTAACCAACATGACTTACACAGTTTATTGAACATCGGCAAAAATTGAACATTGCCGCTACTTTGAGCTCAATTTCAAGGTACTTTTCGTCATGAAAGCAATCAAAATCATGTCTATTTCTGTAATATATCTTCCATTCTGAGTCAAAAAATGAGAATACAACCATAAAAACCATACGAAAATATACTGCAAAGAGGCGGCTAATGGCTGAGAAGTGAACTCCCTTACTTATCGTCCGTCTTTTTTATTTTTGTTGTACGTTAAGAAGCATCTTTCCATCATACATTGCCCAACAAACAACCAAGAAAAAAAATATTTACCAAAAATCATATATGGCAAGCCCAAGCCAGGTGCTGGAAATAAGTCACTGACTTTTCTGGGTTATCCTTAGGTTCTCTATACATACACTGCTATGTATGATAATCTATGTAACTGTATTTGTGTATACCTGAATAAACTTATTTACTTCTAGTCTGTCAACTGAGTACAAGAAACCGCCCATTCACTTATTTCAACTACCCAATAAAGTGGTCAGAAATTGGCAATTTGGCCGATTTCACACAAATTTCAACAGATGCTAATTTCAAAATAGGGTCCAGAATAAACAGTGCAGACATTCCTGGCACTAAAATAACATTTTCTCGGTTCATTAGTCACGGCTACAGGCCCCTCTTATATTACTCTTGCTTACCATTTGGAATTTTTATTCACAAAAAAAAAGATAGATATTTTACTGTTATGCAGACTACTGCATTATTGTAATAATTGTATAAATAATGTCAATCCATTTTTGACTCCGTACTGGAATTTAGACTGGCAGGCGGACAGGTATTGGACAGCGACGTCATTTGTTTACTCTTGAGCTTCGCTAAAGAATAGAACATCTTCGCTACTGTGAGCGCAATTTCAAGGTACTTTTCATCATGAAAGCAATCAAAATCATATCTACTTCTGTAATATATCTTTCATTCTATCAAATGAGACTGAAAAAATGAGAATATAACCATAACCATACAAAAATATACCGCTAAGCAGCCGCTAATGGCTGAGAAGCGAACTCCGCTATTTATGGTCTGATTTCTTTCATTTTTGGTGTACGTGAAGAAGTATCTTTCCATTATACATTGCCCAAGTTTGAATAAGATAACCCAACAAACAACTGAGAAAATAATAATATATCTTTATTTACTACACGTACATGTACAAGGTATGCAGGCCTAGCTGACATCGGTGACATACTACTGTATAGAAAGGCACTTATGCTGAGTATTTCAAGAAAATTAGGTCAGTGTCCCAGGATAACACCCACACTAGCCGACTAACACCCAGGTACCCATTTACTGATGGGTAAACATAGACAACAGGTGTAAAGAAACACGCCTAATGTTTCTACCCTGGCTGGGAATCGAATATTTACCAAAATCATGTATGGCTAACCCAAGCCAGGTACTAAAAATAAGCCACGTTGACTTTTTTTTGGGGTTATCCTAGGTTCTCTACACATATGCTGCTATGTGTGATAATCTACAGAGAGAAAATAACTTTTTTGTTTCATGTTTATGGTGGAGTACGAGTGTATATGACAGTTAGCCCTGTGCTACACTCCGTTTTCTCTGATATAAGCCCCCAAGACAAGGATAGGAGAATGGTATTTGTTTACCATATCTTCTTTGTAACTCTGTCGAACTGCTCAGTGTTATGCCAAATATTATGCATTCTGGAGTATTTAACATGTTTTATGTTATTTATATTGTTTATTATGTCATATTAGATCAATTGTGATAGGCAAATAAGCTGTAGTGTTGATATTAGCATAATAATAAAGCATATTCTCCTGCATCATGAGACTGAGCTCATGACAACTGACAGTGGCTTCAAAGCCACCTTATCTTTAATGGATAATGTACTGTGTAGGTGCTTTACATAATGAGAAGCATTTCTTTTATTCATTGGAACCATGGCTAGGGCTAAAAGTAAGCAGGTTATAACAAATATAGAAAAAGAAATTGGAGTGACTTATGCAGCAAGTAGCGACACCAAACAGTACCAGCAGGTTGGTGTGGCGACCCTGGAAATTTGAAATTATGCTAGCCAAAATTAGTGCCGAATAACTGATTGCCGGATTTATGATGGCGGACCTGTATACCATTTTTACAATAATGCATTAGTCTGCATAACAGTAAATTTTGTATTTTTTTGTATGAATAAAAAATAAAAATAGAAAGCAGTAGTAATATAAGAGGGGCCTAGAGACGTGACTAATGAACAGAGGATATTTTATTTTAGTGCCAAGAATGTCTACATTGCTTATTCTGGACCCTATTTTGAAATTGGCATCTTTTTTAATTTGCATGATATTGGCCAAATGACCAATTTCTGACCACTTTATTGGATAGTTCAAATCGGTAAATGGGCAGTTTCTTGTACTCAACTGGTAGAAAAAATGGAGTTCTAAAGAAATAGCTATGAGTTTGGTCAACTGGAACAGCGAAATTGTCCTAAAACAGGGCTCAAATTCGGTGAAGTTGCCGATGCGTATATGTCGCTGAGACCGCTAACTTTGCGGGAGCGTAAGTCCATGAGTTTTCAACCAATTTTCATACTTTTGGTGTCATTACCACCGGGAAAAGATTCTCTATCATTTCATAAGAAATTTTTTTTTTTTCCAAAACTTTTGCGACATAGAATGACAGTTTCGGAAAGGGGTTTGCGACAGTCAAAGGGTTAATGCCTGGTTCTGTTGCTAACTTAATATATGTTAGTGTAAACTTATCTAGTATTTATATGCATTTATAAGTGGAATAAAAGGTGTTCCACTTTACGGTGGTAGCCTGAAACCTAGCCTGCTGTATAAGTGAGACCCTACTGTATTCATGAATTTAACACCATAGGTCACATATTCTTCTGAATGAGAAATTACCAGTTCTCTAGTGGGCTATTTTATAATATTATAATTGTTTTGACTAAGTAAAATCATTTTTAGTACATTTATTATTTTTTTCAGGTCCTAATGTGAAGAAAGCCAAGTTCTTCCTTGCCAAAGAAGCAATCTTGGGGTTGTATGGTGTGGATTCCACTTTTGAACCTCCTCAGCCTGTTGTTGTAGCACATGAACAGGATTGATCAGCAAACAATAAAAAATAATCCTTTGATTTGATAGTAATTATGGTACAAGTTGAAAATGATATTTTTTTAAATTATGTTGACAGTACTCTAAAGTACTACAGCAAAGCAGGGTTGGCACACAAGTGGGTAACCCACTTTTTAACTTGAGAACCCCTACTCTATTGCACACTCAGGTGTTTTTTAAAAATGCTATTTTATTTTCAATATTTTGCTATTTATGAAAAGGTAAATATATAGTACATTATTTTCAGTTTTTAAATTAATTTGTAATTACTATTTTATTTTATTTATGTAGGACTTGAAAATTTTTGTCAATAACAGTTCAAATTTATGTTAATTGAAGAAGAATGTGACATTGTGTGTATATCAAAAAGCAAAATGTGTAGTTGGAATGTACATTTCTAATATTTGTTAGCCAATAACAAATTAGTGTAGTATTAAAGTTACCTATTATCCTGTAGCTAGAAAGTCATTTCCCATTCTGTGATGCTACATTCTCCGTGTAACTAAACTACACCAGTTCCGAGTTCCCCACAAAACTAGAAAATTTAACAATTGTGCTAGGGTCCTGGACATTCACAAAGGTTTTCTGTACCTCATATTGGGCACATCTAAAGTTGTGAGTATCAAGTGCCCGTGTATTTTAACTTTCACTGTCCAGACACCCCTCCCCCTAAATACAATTTTCTCAATGTCCAAAGTTAAAAAAATCTTACGATTAAGAGTACATTTTTCTAGCGGTAATAAAAAAAAATTCCCACCATTTACTCATTGAGATAGTTGCATTAAGTTAAAGGTTGACAACTCGCTGGTGGCAACATCAGCGAATCAAACTCTCCACATTCTAAATTATTTTTTTCTGGAGGTTTTCAGATTTTCTTATATTTTACAGTAACTGTTGTGGCCTATGAGCCCCATATAATGCACATATATTAACCTGTTGTAACAATACCTAATGTCATCAGTACATTGTTTACACAACAATGTAAACATGCACAGGTACAAAAGTTCATATTACTGTTCTAGTATTTACATATATACAGCACTGGACATGTCCCTAGAACATGTCTAGTGCTGTCTGTGGAACACGGCTTCATAAACAGCAGTGTTTCACATACCTCATACACACAGCTTCTCTCTCTCTCTGCTGGGTGCCATGTTTTATGTGCACAGATATATAACATCTCTTCTGAGCCCATTTCCTTTCTATAGCATAAAGTGTTGTTAGGAAGTGATCACCATGACTCAAATGAGAGGGTACTTGGTGATCAGTTTGGGGGCGCAGGTGTTGTGACTTGGTATTTGTGTATTATTTGCCTGATAAAACAAAAGTGGGCATACGATGGTCTGTTTCCAGTCCTCATCTGGCATATATTGTATACATTGAGCATGCGAGTGCCCGCGAGATGAACGAAGTTTCATGTACTACTTTTTAACTCTTGTGAACACAATCTGCAGATGCAATCTGCACGTCTTGTTTGTCCACCAAATGCATATTGGCAGTGTAATCAGTACCATCTGCAGGTTTCAGAATGGGGTTCATGTCAAAAATGTTAAATCACATATGGCATGAAACACCTGCACCTCACCAATACCCATGATGAACTGACCAGATCCATTCTCACATATAGGCCTACCAGGCCTCTCACACTAAATTTAAAGCTACCAAAATTTATGCGTAGACATATATAAGGGACCCTTGCTTCAATGACCTAGTTCTACATGACAGCCACTGAAAGGTTAACTATCTTCAAAGCCATATCTACACATTGTTTACAACCATCTCGCTACTAGAAATGAACTGACTGCAATGTTTCAACTCTAAGAGTGGCTTAGCGCTTCTTTTTGATTATAATAATAATAATCAACTCTAAGAGTTGCACGAGTTTCAACAAAGCACACCATGTTCAAACAAGTTACAATTGTTATAAATTTATATTTGATCACTAGCATGTGCTGACACTTTGGCAAGTGGGCAAAAACCTGTTTGAACACATCTGCTGTCAGGTATAGTCGAGCTTGCTTCCCGAGTTTTGTATGTTACCTAAAATACTTTATTTCTTAAATTAAGCATAATTCTCTCATTCTGTTGATTGCATTCCTATAAAATGTTTCTCATCAACCCTTGAGGTTTCTTAAACTTAAGCAGGTGTTAAAAAAAAACAGTAGTAACCTATTAGGCTGTTTTATAGTGGTTAAAAATCCCTTGCCCACTTTTTTTTTTATCCAAGTGGGCATTAATGCCAACCCTGCTGCAAAGCTCCCTTTATGCATAAAAATTTTAGTCAGAAATTAAAGATTTTAAATTTATACTGTTATTGACTATTATAATAAAATGTAACATATTGAGCAGAAATATTCTAGTAGATATTTATGGTAAAGCTTGACAAAATAAATTGGTATTAATAAAGATACGTAACATGATACTCGCATAATTAATCCTTTGATGTGCGACGTCTAAACTGTTGTATCTGTGCCTCTGACAAGACAGTGATAGTGTAAATGATGGTGAAAGTGCCTTTTTCAGGTCACCCTGCCTCAGTGAGACAGCCAGAATGTTAAAAAAAAAAAATTAAAATGTTAGTGAGACAGCAGTATATGATGTAAGCAAATGTGTGGTGCTACACTATGATTATTATGCAGTTCAACAAAGTATAATATTACAGGATTATGTATTTGCTGGTGCTGTATAGCCCTTCCCCTCAAGGAAGGTTCCTTGATGTTGGTGAGGGGCTCTTGATTTAGGGAATTGGATCTGTGCTCCAGTTCCCCGAATTAAGCCTGAATGCCTTCCACATCCCCCCCCCCCCAGGTGCTGTATAATCCGCCGGGTTTAGCGCTTCCCCTTTGATTATAATAATAATAATGTATAGCCCTTGTGGCTTAGCGCTTCTTTTTGATTATAATAATAATAATAATTATAGTGTTGGAGTGGTTGGTACTTTTGTTTAATAAATGTATGAAAGAGGGGAAGGTACCTAGGGATTGGCAGAGAGGCATGTATAGTCCCTTTATATAAAGGAAAGGGGACAAAAGAGACTGTAAAAATTATAGAGGAATAAGCTTACTGAGTATACCAGGAAAAGTGTACGGTAGGGTTATAATTGAAAGAATTAGAGGTAAGACAGAATGTAGGATTGCGGATGAGCAAGGAGGTTTTAGAGTGGGTAGGGGATGTGTAGATCAGGTGTTTACATTGAAGCATATATGTGAACAGTATTTAGATAAAGATAGGGAAGTTTTTATTGCATTTATGGATTTAGAAAAGGCATATGATAGAGTGGATAGAGGAGCAATGTGGCAGATGTTGCAAGTATATGGAATAGGTGGTAAGTTATTAAATGCTGTAAAGAGTTTTTATGAGGATAGTGAGGCTCAGGTTAGGGTGTGTGAGAAGAGGGAGACTACTTCCCGGTAAAAAGTAGGTCTTAGACAGGGATGTGTAATGTCACCATGGTTGTTTAATATATTTATAGATGGGGTTGTAAAGGAAGTAAATGCTAGGGTGTTTGGGAGAGGGGTGGGATTAAATTTATGGGGAATCAAATTCAAAATGGGAATTGACACAGTTACTTTTTGCTGATGATACTGTGCTTATGGGAGATTCTAAAGAAAAATTGCAAAGGTTAGTGGATGAGTTTGGGAATGTGTGTAAAGGTAGAAAGTTGAAAGTGAACATAGAAAAGAGTAAGGTGATGAGGGTGTCAAATGATTTAGATAAAGAAAAATTGGATATCAAATTGGGGAGGAGGAGTATGGAAGAAGTGAATGTTTTCAGATACTTGGGAGTTGACGTGTCGGCGGATGGATTTATGAAGGATGAGGTTAATCATAGAATTGATGAGGGAAAAAGGTGAGTGGTGCGTTGAGGTATATGTGGAGTCAAAAACGTTATCTATGGAGGCAAAGAAGGGAATGTATGAAAGTATAGTAGTACCAACACTCTTATATGGGTGTGAAGCTTGGGTGGTAAATGCAGCAGCGAGGAGACGGTTGGAGGCAGCGGAGATGTCCTGTTTAAGGGCAATGTGTGGTGTAAATATTATGCAGAAAATTCGGAGTGTGGAAATTAGGAGAAGGTGTGGAGTTAATAAAAGTATTAGTCAGAGGGCAGAAGAGGGGTTGTTGAGGTGGTTTGGTCATTTAGAGAGAATGGATCACAGTAGAATGACATGGAAAGCATATAAATCTATAGGGGAAGGAAGGCGGGGTAGGGGTCGTCCTCGAAAGGGTTGGAGAGAGGGGGTTAAAGGAGGTTTTGTGGGTAAGGGGCTTGGACTTCCAGCAAGCGTGCGTGAGCGTGTTAGATAGGAGTGAATGGAGACGAATGGTACTTGGGACCTGACGATCTGTTGGAGTGTGAGCAGGGTAATATTTAGTGAAGGGATTCAGGGAAACCGGTTATTTTCATATAGTCGGACTTGAGTCCTGGAAATGGGAAGTACAATGCCTGCACTTTAAAGGAGGGGTTTGGGATATTGGCAGTTTGGAGGGATATGTTGTGTATCTTTATATGTTTATGCTTCTAGACTGTTGTATTCTGAGCACCTCTGCAAAAACAGTGATAATGTGCGAGTGTGGTGAAAGTGTTGAATGATGATGAAAGTATTTTCTTTTTGGGGATTTTCTTTCTTTTTTGGGTCACCCTGCCTCGGTGGGAGACGGCCGACTTGTTGAAAAAAAAAAAAAAAAAAAAAAAATAATAATAATGTATTTGCTGGTAAGTTTTCCATTATTCTCATTACCAACACTTATGTTGGCATCAGGCATGGGTTTCGAACATTGCAACAAAGAGGTTGCTAGATGCAGAGGAAATGTCGTGTTCGAGAGAAATTTGTGATGTGAACATTAAACAGATTTCAGAAAGTAGACATTAAAATTTAAGACTGTAGATCTACCAGGGGCATAATTCAGAAGGCTGAAGAAGCACTTGTGGCATTTAGAGGGACAAGATGATAAAAAGGGCAAATAAATAAAGAGTGGAAGATAGGAAAGATTGGAGGGAAGGGGTAGAGACGACTTGAGTGTTAGGGGCTGGAGCATTCAGCAGGCTTTTAAGAGCACAATGTGCTATTGGAATACGAGGAAAATAAATATAATCCTGGTGGTGGATACAATTCTGACCCCAGGTGAAAAGGGCAGTGCAGGTACTGTCCTTTCCACCTGGTGATGTTGCAGTTTGGAGGGTCATGTAAATTGTGATGTCAGCATACTTATTGCAAGACCAATTTAATAAATGATGGTGAATGTTTCATTTTTTGGGCCACTCCTACCTTGGTGCAACACAGCCAATGAAATGAGAACAATAAGCTTATGCTCTTTAAATTTATACAAATAATGGAAAAAATATGTAGGATAAGTGCTCCAATTTAAAGACAACCATCCAGGAAAGGACTGCCATCCTGCCAAATAAATGTGAAATGTAAACCTGTTATTTAACTCCATGGCAGGATTGCTGGTTTCTTCTTTCTCATAAACATGTAAGATGACATAGATTATGGTACTTTCATCTAGTTCACTTTACATGTGCAGTTGTACATGTATACACAGAGGTGAGTTTTTCTCCTAATCTTGATAATTCTTGTTCTTGTAGTGTTTCCTTTCATCTCCTTGGGAAAGTTGTTGAAAAATCTTCCTTTGTAAGTTGTGTGTTGCAAAAGTTAAGAAGGACGAAGAACATTTTAAAGGTAAGTTTTTTGAATGTGAGTGGATGTAGTATGGATTGTGAATGGTGACATAAAATACTACATGTCCTAGCTCTAACCAAAGCAAACCTAAAGGGGATAGGAGAATTTCAGTGGGGAGGTGTAAGTGGGATTAGGTCAAGTGTATCAGAGAGAATCGGAGCTAAGGAAAGAGTAGCAGTAATAGTAAATGATCAGTTATGTAAAGAGATAAGAGAATACAAGTACTATATAAATTCAAGAATCATATGGATTAAACTAAGGGTGAAATGTGAGAAGTGGGTAATAGTAAGTGTGAAGCATATGCTCCCCTGAGGATATGTTAAGTAAGATAAGGGAGTGTTAAACTGAGAAGATAATTTGGGGGAGGGGAGGGCCTAAATCCTAAAGTGGGAGAAACTGTTGTAGAGGGAGTAGTAGGTAAGCTTGAAATGATGGGGGGGGGGGGGGGCTCTAATTGAGCTATTTATAGAAAGGTTTGGTAACATGTAATACGTATTGTGAGGGAAAAAAAAAAGGAAGTTGAAAGTGAACATAGATGAGAGTAACAGTAAGGTGATAAGGGTAACAAACAAGTTAGGTAAGAAAAAATTGGAAATCAAATTAAATGTGTTCAAATATTTAGGAGTGGAGGTGTCAGTGGATGGATATATGATTATTATTATTATAATCAAAAAGAAGCGCTAAGCCACAAGATGGATATATGAAAGACGAGGTAAACTGTAGAATTCATTAAGGAAAAAAGGTGGATGGTCCATTGAGGTATTTGTGGAGACAAAGAACATTATCCATGGAGGCAAAGAGGGTAGTGCATTGTCGTACCAACACTCATGGGTGTGAAGCATGGGTTGTGAATGGTGCAGCGAGGCCTTTGGAGGAAATGGACATGTCATGTCTGAGGGCAATGTGTGGCACAAGTATTATACAGAGAATTTGTATTTTGGAGATCAGGATGAGATGCAGGGTTACTGAGGAGGACTTGTTGAGGTGGTTTGGTCATTTAGAGAGGATGAAGCAAAATAGGGTGACTTGGGTGTATAAATCTGTAGCAGAGGGGAGATGGGGTAGGGGTTATGCTAGGAAAAAATGGAGGGAGGGGAGGTTTTGTGTGCAAGGGGCTTGGACATACAGAAGGCATGTGTAAGCTTGTTAGATAGGAATGAAGACAAATGGATTTTTGGACTTTACAAGCTGTTGGAGTGTGAGCCAGGTAATATTTTGTGAAGGGATTCAGGGAAACCAGTTAGCTGGACTCGAGTCCTGGAGATGGGAAGTACAGTGCCTGTATTCTAAACGATGGGTTAAGGAAATTTGCTGTTTAGAGAGACATCAGAACTGTTGTGTGTGCCTCTGGCAAGACAGTGATAGTTTTTTTTTTTCTGGTCACCCTATCTCAGTGGAAGACAGCCAGCGTGTTAAAAGGTAAATGAGATACAATATAGGGAGTAATGAAAACAATTTGCTACTATGTATTAGCAGATAAAAGGTTAAGAGACAGACTTCTAGATGTACATGTTTTTAGAGGAGACTACTGATATATCAAATTATTTAGATGTAGCCACAGTGAGAGTAAGAGGTAGATGGGGGTACAGGAATGTCATTGGTGGGTAAAAGGGAAGTGAAAATTAAGAGGAGATAGAGTAAGATGCAAGCAACTATTGGGGGAAAGATGTGTTACTTATTTCATACATTTGAAGCATCTGTCAGATTGCTCCCCTAGCCACCTTATTATAGGCCTTT